ATCTTCGATGAGAAGTGGTTTAAATTCCACGACATCAAGATAAGTGTTGCCATTCAAGAACCCGGGGACATGATAGTCACTTTCCCCGAAGGGTATCATGGAGGGTTTATTGTAGGATTCAACTGAATGTTTCCCTCAATTGTGCCCTGAAGTTGTGGGTAGCTTATGGCTTGAGGGTCAGCTTCTGTGTTTGCGAGTAAGTTAAAAATTATTATTATTAATTATTGGTAAGTTCTAGTTATTTCTTATTTATTCTCTTAGATCTGCTGCTAAGATGACATTCCCCATGGAACCATTTGTGCGCAGGTACATGTTGCCTGTGTACAAGAAATGGTTAAGAGGGAAACTGAAGCATTTTCCCAAGGGTTGGAAGGATTTGTTAGAATTTAAATTGAAAGAAATTATAAATCCTCCTACTCTTACTGAACTTAAGGAAACCAAGATGTAAGTTTATATCTTGTGTATACTTTATTACAAAACGGATTGATGCTGATTTTTGAAATGTTTAATTGCAGACCTGCTACACCAGAGGAAATGAACATCAGGACAAGAGGGAACAAGAAAGATGGAGAGGCTTTCATGGCCCTGAAGAAGAGAATAAATTATCTTCAAAAATTGGCAGAAAGAATTGCCAATGCACAGTAAGTTAATATATGCAAATAATCAGTTATCCATTCCATTAAGTTCCTATTCTTTTGTAAATACAGAATTAAGAAGGTGAAATTGACTGAGGAAGAAGTTTGGAAAATGCCTCTTGTGGCAGAAGAAGTGGAAATGTTGAAGACAACTATTGGCAAAAAAAGGAAACTGTCTAGCACAAGTGAGGAGTCCCAGGTACTTGAAGAATGTGCAAGTGAGTTTGAAAATAAATATGATGCATACATAAGCCTTCAAATAGAAATGTTGTTAGAAAATCGGGCAAGTGAAAGTGTGAGGGCTGAGGGTTTAAAAGACGAATTGAGTGAAGTTGATGATGATGTTATCATGTTATAAGTAATGTGAATAATTAACATTTTTCAAATAAGAGCAATAAAAAATATTTCAACATGTTTTCCAAAGTGTGTACTTCAATCTATCAATGGGCTTTCATGACTTTGCTGTTAATAATGCAGTTTGAAATGTCTAACACATGATTTGTTCTACTTTTACAGGAATTTTGTTTGTAATATACTGCTGCGCTATTGTGTTTCTGCGCTACGTGCTTAAGTGGACAGCGCTTTGCTTCGTGAATGACGCGCGCTTGGTATTGCGAAGAAGAATGTACGGCGCTTATTATTGTGAACAGCGCGCGGTATTGTGTTTCTGCGCTACGCGCTTAAGTGGACAGCGCTTTGCTTTGTGAACAACGCGCGCTTGGTATTGTGAAGAAGAATGTACGCCGCTTATTATTGTGAACAGCGCGCGGTATTGTGAGAAACACTGGAGACTTCTTTGCTTTGTGAACTGCGTGCATTATTTTTAAAAGCATCGGACAGTGCTTATCATACTGCGTGTCTTCTTCTGTTCTCCACCATTAACACCATTGCACAGCGCCTTCATCATTGACAGCGCATTCGACAGCGCTTTGTGAACGGATATGCAATGACAGTATGAGGTTAGTTCCTTACATTACTTGTTTGGCAAAGGATTGGGTGGTTAACATCCACACCACCTGCTTATGGGGTCCTGAAGAGAACAAAAATAATATTGTAAATTGATGGTACCCTTTTTCCTCTCATCACAAAGTACAAAGCACGTGTATACAAACTGTCTCATTAACTCCACTAATAAACGCCTCATTAACTCCCTTTTCAGGTGAGTTTGCGCGCTGTTCAGGTTGTGGTGACGTGCTGGAAAAGTGAATCATGTAATGCACACACGCTGCGGTGTTTTAAATTGTGCGTTGTGTTCTCCTGACGGGGTGTGTATCCAGGAATAGTCGCGCGCCATTGCTTGTGCCGGTTTGCCTTGCTTCTCTTACTGACGCGCTTTTTCTTCTGTTTGTCCCTGTTATTCATATTTTTTCTTTCCTTCACAGATTTCTTGTGCATAACATTCATTGCTATCAGTGCAACAATGAGTAATATTCACTTGTTCCTGAATGTTACAATTGAGGAAATTAATAATACGGAGTACAGTTGGCCCCCGACTTACGGACCGCCCGACTTACGGATTTTCGACTTACGGACCGGGTCTGTTCGTCAAAAATCCGCCCAACTTACGGACCGCAACCGGGTTACGGACCTCATTTTACGTGTGGTGCATTACCTTAACGGATGTGTTCCTCCCTTCCTCCCATACAAATTTGATTTTTAGGAATAAAATGATGTTTAAATTGATGTGAATGTGTGTTTCTTTTATATTTACAGGTGTAGAATATTATCTGCATTGTTTTTGCAATAATGTTGGGTTTTTTTTGCCATGGAATTGAATTATCACCTAATTTTTTGCACACTGTCACACACTCCAAATATTTGGAGTGTGGGACAGTCAGTGTGTGTGTTTTTTATGTGTCATTTATGGTCTGTGTGTGTGTTTTTATGGTACATTATGGTATTCCCTCTTCTTTTCTAGATTTCAGATCTGAAAAAAGTGCAATGCCAAAATCAAGTGCAAAAAAAAGGAAACTCTTCACCCTTGAAGAGAAGAAAGTGTTAATTCAGAGAATTACAGATGGTGAGAGGCAAGTGGATTTGGCCAAGGAGCTTGGCCTGAACAAAACCAGCATCAACACCATCTGGTGCACCAGGGAGAAGATCTTAGCTGCCTGTGAGACTTCTGCAAAGGGTGTTCTTCAAATCCACAACAAGAAGCAAAGGCACCCTGTGATGGATGAACTTGAGAAGCTTCTCCTCATTTGGATTGAGGATATGCAGATGAAAGGTGAACCAATGTCTGGTGAGCACATCTGCAGGAAGGCCAGGTACATCTTTGGAGAACTCATACAGGAGTATCCTGAAGGAGAAAGTGCTGGTGATATTGAAGAGGAAGAAGAAGACCCAGAAGAAAATAAGAAAGGCTTCACAGGTTAGTGTATGATCCCATGCCTACTGTTCATGAAATAAAGAATTTCTTTGGATTGTTTACAGCTAGCCATGGCTGGTTCCACAGATTTCAGAGAAGGGCTGGAATCAAGAATGTGAAGCTGACTGGAGAAGGAGGGAGTGCTGACCAAGAGGAGGCAAAGAAGTTCTGCAACACACTCCAAGATGTTATTGATGAAGGAGGGTACAGTGGCAATCAAGTCTTCAATGCAGATGAGACTGGCCTTTTTTGGAAGAAAATGCCAGACAGGTCCTACATCACAAAGGAGCAAAAGAAGATGCCTGGGAAGAAAGTGATGAAAGAAAGGCTCACTGTCTTGCTGTGTGCCAATGCCACTGGGCTTTGCAAGATCAAGCCCATGGTTCTCTACAAGTCTGAAAATCCCAGGCCTTTTAGGGCCAAGAAGATTGTCAAGAGCAGCCTTCCAGTGTTTTGGAAAAGCAACAAGAGGGCTTGGGTTGACATGGCAGTCTTCAAAGCTTGGCTGAATGAGGTGTTTGCTCCTCAAGTGAAGGCATTCCTTCAAGAGAGACAGCTTGAATTGAAGGCTCTTCTTCTCTTGGATAATGCCCCTGGGCATCCTAAAGCAGGTGCCCTGAAGTCAGAAAATAAGTGGATAAGAGTGAGTTTGCCTACTCATTATCCTAATTTGGAAGTTATTCTTCATGTTCTTTCTTTTTGTATTCCTTCAGATTGAGTTCCTGCCACCTAACACCACCAGCATCCTGCAACCTATGGACCAGACTGTGATAGCCAACTTCAAGAAGCTGTACACCAAGTATCTTTTTGACTTGCTCTTTGCTGAATGCCACTTGAAGAAAGACCAAGTAAGTTACCCCTTTTTTGAAAATTTTTCCTGTGTGTCTGAATATGACTGGACTTCATTTTTTGATGTCAGGGGTCAGTGACACAGTTCTGGAAGGACAAGTTTACCATTGTTGAGAGCATTGTCCTGATTGCAAGATCATGGAAGAATATGACTCAAAGAAACCTGAACTCTGCTTGGAAGGATCTCATGCCCAGAGTCTGTCAACAAACCCCTGATGATGAAGAGGAGGATGAGGAAATTGTTGCAGAAATTGTTCTCTCAGCCCAAAAGTTGAAAATGGATGTGAATGCAGAAGATGTTAAAGAACTTATCATGGAAAACACAGAGGACCTAGGAGTGGAGGAGTTGAGGGAAATGGCAGCTGAAATAGCTGAAGATGCCAAAAACAAAGAGTTGAAATCACCTTCAGAGAAGTGAGTTTGCCTTCTCATTCCTTTTGGAATTGTTCTAAAAATTTCCTTCTTTGCATTTCTTCAGATTGGCATCTCTTGAGAAATCCCCTCAGATGAAGGCATCTTTCATGAAGGACACTCTCTCAAAGTGGAATGAAGTCCAAGCTACCTTCCAACAGGAATTTCCCAACAACTTTGAGGTCAATCAAGCAATTCATGTTTTGGAATCTGTTTGTGGAGAGCACTTCAGAAGCCTTCTTAAGAACAAAGAGAAGCAGGCTACAATCAAAAGCTACTTCTCTCCTGAAAAATCTGGGCCATCAGGGGCCCAGGATGAGCCTTCAGAGGCCCAAGCTGGGCCATCAGGTTTCCAAGCTGGGGCATCAACATCTTACAAGAGGGCATGTGAGGATGATGAGAGTGACTCTGAATGAGTTGAAAAGTGCATTAGTGTACTACTTTGTGTACTGTTCTGCATTATTTCATGTAAGGATAGTGCATAAAGTTGAGCTGGTGTTGAACCCTTCTGTGATCTGTCCTTTTTTTCAAATTTTTCTTTTTTTCACCATAGAAATTGAAAGTTGCGACACCAATTAAAAATTTTTACATGATTTCTTAAGGAAGAGACGCCCCCGACTTACGGACCGCCCGACTTAAGGACTGGTCCATTGCACGAATTAAGTCCGTAAGTCAAGGGACGACTGTATACTAAAGATACAATTGCAGCTTTAGTAGCAGCTTATCGTGCAACAATTATGCACTCGCCCAAGGTTCTAAACATGGAATCCGTGGCGGTGTACCGCCTCATTCAAAAAGACTTAAAGCGGGCTGATGATGGAGTTAATTTGATAACGCGAAATAAGTTTCTGGCGAGTCATTTACCAGTCTTGATAGACACCGTGAAGACTCGCATAACGACATGCATGAAGAGAAACAGTGAGTTCATCTAAGTAATTTTGCCCTTATTAATGGAGATACATAATTTATTTACAACATAAATTTACAGAATTGACAGAGTTATGCAGGATTCTATACAAGGTTGAAGAAGACACCAAATCTGCTGCTCTTCCAGTTTCAGTTGATGTTCCTCCAGTTTCTGCAGTTTCAAAGATAAATGGAGGAACAGGTATGTATGTGAATAATTTCCAAAAGTCCCATATAATAAAGAGATTAATTTCCTTAGATGTTTCACACAAAAAATATGTTTGTGGACCTGACCCAGTAGACATGGGGCAGCTGGAACTTTTCAAATTGCCTGCTTCTGAACCCGCTTCTGAGGATCCCCAGAATGATTCAGTTACAGGTATGTATGTTAATAATTTCCAAAAGTGCAATATAATGAAGAGATTAATTTCTATAGATGTTTCACATGAAAAAGGGGATTGTGGACCTGACCCAGTAGACTTGGGGCAGGTGCAAGTTTCAGAATTGCCTGCTTCTGAGGTTCCCAAGAATGATTCAGTTACAGGTAAGTATGCTAATAATTTCCAAAAGTGCAATATAATAAAGAGATTAATTTCTATAGATGTTTCACATGAAAAAGGGGATTGTGGACCTGACCCAGTAGACTTGGGGCAGGTGCAAGTTTTGGAATTGCCTGCTTCTGAGGATCCCCAGAATGATTCAGTTACAGGTATGTATGTTAATAATTTCCAAAAGTGCAATATAATAAAGAGATTAATTTCTATAGATGTTTCACATTGAAAAGGGGATTGTGGACCTGACCCAGTAGACGTGGGGCAGGTGCAAGTTTTGGAATTGCCTGCTTCTGAGGATCCCAAGAATGATTCAGTTACAGGTATGTATGTTTTGCATTTGGAAATTGAAAGTTACTAAGACAGTTACACTTATTTAGATGAAATGGTTGCAGTAGAAACAATTGAAAGAAACCAACAACAGACCAAATCTTCAAGTACTGCACAAAAGAAAGGTAAACTCATTTAAACTTCTTGCATGCCTTTTCGGAGTATGTAACAATTTAATTATGAGATGCTCTTGTGTTAATTGACATACCTGAATGTACGTCCATTTTAAAGTGTTTCACAATTACATACTTTACTCTTACACAGGTATTAAAAGGAGACTACCAAGTGATGATGAAGACTGCACCAGATGCACTGCAGGCATGGAGCTTGTGAGATTCTGTTACACGCAACAATTGGATTACTGCAGCTCCAACATGCTGAAGTTGCTGCTTCATGCAAGTCTCACTGATTCGACCCTTGAAGGACCCAATTGTGAAAGGTGTGAGAAGCTACTGGACTTAGTAGTTAATGTTGAAGAAATGCAAACAAAGGGGATGCAAGATGAAGAATTGTACAAAATTGCAATGAAAACAAAGAAAGCTATAATGGTATCCATGAAGGTGAGAATGGAATTTTTACGTTATTATGAAAATGTAATTTATGAAACTGTTCTATGTTTCTTCATGAATAAGGTATGTAAGTCTGGTGCTACAGACTTACATGAACAGAATGAAACAAGAAGACAAGGAAAACATGTTCAGGGTCCCTGTACATCTTCATGTCCAGATGTAAAGGAAACATCAGGAAGTGGCATGGAGAAACGTTCACGGCATAAGGTATTCAAAGTGAATGGGTTAACGTGTGAGTGATATTATTTAAAAAGTATTATTAAATTACAGAAATATACGAATGCAAGACCAACAGTACAAAAAAGGAAATATGTGCGAAAAATCAAGTGTCCACCCAAGAAAACAGCCAGGCATGATTTGAAGTCACTGGGTCCTGTTGCAACCCTCCTTGGGAGGTTTGCAGAAGTGGATGAAGAAGGTAAAGAATGTAGTAGTACAAGTAAATACAAATTGTTACTAATAAATTCTTTCATCAAATTGCAGGGCAATTTAAACATCAACCACCCAAGTGCAAGTTATGCAAGTCTCCAGTTTCTGTTGTTCAATTTGCTTCCTTCATGACTTGGGCGTTGAAAGCTCACTACAAGATGCATGATTTATTGAAAGGGAAAACAGCAGACTATAATGGTACGTGTGAATACATAATTTGTTAAATTATTATCACATAATTATTTTTAATTTTGGCAGGAGTTAACAATGATTGGAGGAGCATAATGTCCTCCTTTGTTTTTGATGTTGGATGCACAGCATGGTTGCGCTTAGAAAGGAATAAAGGCCGCCTATCAGCTTGGTCAATTCCAATGAGGTGTGTTCCTGGGGCCTTGAAGTCTTCAGATTTGAAGTTTCCAAAAGCAACGTACAAAGGAAGTCTGTCGGTGGAGGACATAACTCCGGAAGAGAAGGTGACAATAGCATTGGGAAAGGTTAGTAATTTCATGTAAATTTTTTTTAAACTTGCATTCCTTGTTAAATTTATCCCAAATTGAAACAGGGTTTCCACATAGAGTAATGCATGAATGTACGGCGCGCCGTTAACAACAACGCGCCGTAGAAGGGTTACGCGCTATGAATTTAACAAGCGTGCTAATGTGAAGGTGAGATGTCAACATTTACGGCGCTCATTTAACGGCGCGCCTGTTCATGTTACAACATGTTGCCTGTTCATCTGTTTATGTTCATGTTACAATGTTTAACGCGCGCTGTAAATATTAAATTAAATTGTAAATTCCTTAAAATTTGGTAATCATACTTTCAAATCTTTCCAGTAATTTACAAATATTTTTATTTTCAGGATAAGCAGTTAACTGAATGCGTTATGATAGCGTGTAATGCATGTCAGGACGGAAGTGACATGGGCCTCTTTATAAGAGTTGATGACCTAGATTGCCTCATACAGAGGATGCAAATGTACTGCAAGAACCTTGCTAGGCGTTCTCTTGTGCAAAAAGCTGGAACACCACAGGAAAAGAGAAATTTGGTATGTTTACTTTCATTAATAATAACATATGTGCTACATATGATATAATGGCATTTTTAAATTTATAAATACATTACAGGAACCTTCAGGAATAATTGGGAAGGGGATATTCTACAACATCCTTGCAAGATTGCTCTTTCCAGCTGATTCCTGCACTGGGATTCTGAAGTACAGCACTTACTCAGGGACTAACAACAAGAAGAGGCTAAATACATCAGGATCGTGTGATGAAGATGAGGAAGATAATGGCAAAGAAGTTGAAGAAAGTTCGTTTGTCACATTCCAATTTGATTGCATGTTTGGGCTGTCGCCAGATGGTATAAGTTCGTATTTTTCTACAAGTATATACAATTTCAATGTAAAATTTCATTTCATTACACATAATTTCATTTTTTATACAGGGTCACCATTTGTTCCTGGTTTATTGCGTTCAATCCTTTGGGAGGAGATACAAAAGCTGAAACAGCATTCAAGTGACAAATTAGAGGAAGTTCTCAAAGAAGTCATACGCAAGGATACCTCTTCATTTGTGAATGAATTGTACATTGGCATTGTGTCATTCAAGAAATGGGTAAGCAAATTAACACCATTTACACATTTGAACATGATTGTAATACATTTAATTCTGGCTGTTCCCAGATCAAAACTTGCTATGAGAAACAGATGAGAACCATCATTGGAAACTACATGCAAGAAATTGGTGGTGTATCTAAGGAATATGCAAGTTTCCAAATATGGCTGAATGACGTTTACTACCAGCATTATGCAATTTGGCCAGATGTTTTTGCAAGTAATTTTTGGGAGTCATTTGAAGAAATGTCAAAAAAAGATGTAACAGAATCTTGTAAGTCGTCATCCGAATTGGAGTAAAATTACATGTAATGCGTTACTTATTGTTTAACTTGTTTGAACAAGTCATTACCAAATTTGATACCGAATTTGATATGTTACGTTTTTTTACTTTTTTATACACTTGAAAGTCGAGTCTCTTCATGACTTGGGGAAGTGTTCTTGTTGAAAATTTGGTAATAAACGAAAGAGTCTGATATCTGTTTTTTTACATGTATAATTAACTTCCACTTACTCTTGAAACATTTCCCATTTGGATCTAACATTCTCCTTCTGTACTTGCAGGAATCAATGAAATTATTGTGATTGACGCGTCTTGTGCATAGCGTGTGTACATTCAGTGAACGGCACATTTTTTATACTGTGCGTACTATGGACAGCGCGTACTGTGTATTGCGATTAAACAACAGCGTGTGTACAAGCAGTGGACGGCGCTCATTAAGTGGACGGCGCAAGCGGTTATCTTGAAATGGCGCATGTGTACTAAAAGTTACCATGGACTGCGTGTAAGAATGTGTTTATAGAACAATTGTTGAACAGTTACGGCGTGCTAAGAACAGCGCGTGTCATGAATGAGTGTGGACGAATGTGATGCTTGGAATTCTGACGGCGCAAATGATCAACGCAGTGCAGCTGACTAGGAGTGCCATCACGACCATGACGTGGAGGTGACGTGCTATACTTTACTTAACACAAAAATGTAGCAGTGCATTTAACACTTCAGAATTTCCTCTTGTAAGACATTGTACTTACATTCATTCAGTGCATTTTGTGAAACTACTGTCATTTCCTTTTTCATCCATTTAACTACTGTTTTCTACGGTTCTTCTGTTCAATTGAAGATCATTATTTATGTGTGTGCGTGTTTGTATCCAACACCTGCAATGGTTAACTTCAAAATTTTAGCTATTGATGACTACCGCGGTTGTGTTAAAGCATTTCGGCAACAAGTACGTGGAAGTGCGGCAAATGATCTGAATAAACATACTCTACTTAGTTGGAGAAAAACTGTTCAACAGCAAATTTGAGACATTGTTAAATGCGGCAAAGTAGAAAGGGTTGTAGCACAAAAATTACACCGGCACGTAAGTTCTTACTTGCTGGAAAAGCTTGACCTAATGCCCATTGTTGCCCAAAACCTTGAGCATTCAACCATATTCCTACATATACCCTCACTCCGTCTTCATTACCACAGGTGATCTTTACTCCAACGTGACTAACTACCACGTTTACGACAACTTCTGGTCGTACTAACAATACTGTTCCTTCTTCTACATCTGTTTCTACTGTATTATGAAGTTGAAGGTGTCAATCAAAAACCGCCAGACTTTTCCCCAAGTGTGGTTATGTACACTTTTGTTCAACTAATGAGGCACTTCATAATGATTGGGCAATGCTTCTCGCATGCGGCATACACTGAGTTGGTGCAGACAATGCAAGAGTTCTGTCCACTTTCAGATTGGAGGGAATTGCCATTGTCACCACTAACCTTGATGAAGGTAATTAAAATGAATTGAAGTATTCTTCACTGATACATAAAAATGAGGAATAATTTCATCTTTATGACCTTGTTGCCTTACTTACAAAATAAGGTGGATCTCTAATGAAAACCTCATGGAAGGTATAAACTACAAAGGTGCAGACTTGAAAGAGGACACAGTGAAAACGTTTCACTCCCTTGTTTACCTTTCACCATGGAAGTGGAACCACACCGTTTCCCTTAGTACGGCTTATCACCAGGTGTGTACTTATACATATTATCATCACACATACTGCCAGTAACATATAATTGATTATTAAACATTACAGGCCTCATTGAGCGTGACAAGCACACACATCTCCTATGTTTGATACATGGAATGGAATCATGTTATAAGTGTTGTTGGAAGTAGTGTCGGAATGGATGTGTTTAATCCCTTCTTCAAAACTTTAACCCGCAAGTTGGGGTTTAAGTTGCAAATTCACTTCTTTGAACGTAAACCCAACTATAGCACATTGACGGTGTCCAGATTTTCAACAATTCAACCACAAGTCAGGTATGCGGGTTAACATGACTAATTATTTTCTACATTACACTTGACATCCCTTGTATTGTGTCCTCATTTACTTCAGGTTAAGGCAATCCTGATGAGAGTGTATGGTTTTGGAACGACAAGGGAGGTACAACCTAGACTCATTGTCCCTCTTTCACTGTCAAAGCCAATGATAGTAGGAATTTACCACGGGGATGGAAAACCTGATGTATTTTCATTCATGAAATGCCTCCTGGAAGAAGGGAAACACCTTCATCCTTCAAGCAACAGAGAAATAAATGGCAACATTTGGCCATTTGCAGTGCGTGTTTGGTGCATAATTGCTGATGCACCAGAGCAAGCATACTTGAAAGGTAAACTTAATAATGTTGTAATGCTTATAAACATATGTGCTTTCATGAAAATTTTTTTGTTCTTTGTACTATTAAACATGTAGGACTCGGAACGAGTGGCTTCAATTCTTGTGAAAGATGCAAAGATTATGGAGTTTTCAGTGAAGGCTGTGTCCAATTCAAATACTTAAATGCGCCTCTACGCACAAATGAAAAATGGGGACAGTATGATGTTATTCCAGAAGGGACTAAATGTAACAAACCTCATAGACAACATCCTTCTCCATTCAACAGTACACCTATTGTGTCTATGGTGAGTCATTCAACAATAAAACAAATTTTTGTCACACATTATGTCATGTAATAATTAATGTGTACTACTTGAACAGGTGTTTGGATTTGCACTTGATGCAATGCACATAATTGGGGGAGGTGCAGTGAGCCTTGGATTGCAATACATTCTGAAGATGCATAAAAATGTGGGGAGATCTTTGAAGCCCTCAAAGGAGTACTTGAATACAATTGACAAGCACTTTGTGGCTTGGTCTTCAAGTACTGTTGTGGAAATGAATCGGTGTGTGAGGAGTCTTGAAAAAATGGAGTTTCGGAAAATGCGAGAGGCCTATGAATGCCTAGTGTATCATACAATTGCACTCTTTGGAGTTGAAAGAATTAGAAATTCCTTTGTTGAAGATGACATGGTGCATGCATTCATGTCTTTGGTTTATGCTATGCACTTAATTGGTCACACTAGGCATGAAAGCCCATCCAATAATGACATTTGCTTAGCAGATGAACTGTTGAGACATTATGTTGAGGCATTGAAAATGGAGAATTGTGACAATTTGATAACACCCCAGAACCACTTATTAATTCATCTTGCCACAGAAGTTTCTGTATATTCTTCTCATTTAGGTGGTTTTGATGCATATTCATTTGAAAATTGTTTGAGGATTTTCCGAGATAAAACTCTCATTCAAAGTGGTAAAAGTGTCTTGAAGCAGTGCTTCAATAGACTATGTGAAGTTGCTGCCCGTAGCATTCCAACAGATTTTAATGGTAATCCAAATCCTGTTAAAGTTAATGCTGCTACTGAGTTAAAAGCAATGAAAGAATTGGGAACACTGTATTTACCAGAAAGTACAGTGTTGCATGTTAGGTCGGAGGGCAAGAAGATGAGCATTCAATGTATTGGCTTCCGGATCACTTGCACGTGAGTTTAACATTGTTATTAGTAACAAATACACATTCCATAATGCATATACATTAACGTTTCTCATATGTCCAACCAGGTATCCTGACAACATCATTGTTCTTCGCAAGTTGGGAAAAGCAAACACATTGAAGCACTTTTATCCTGCTATTCTAACGGATTTTGGCAGGCACTTCAAGAATGAGGAGCTGTTCTTGAAGGTGAAAAAATTCAAGACTGTGAAACCAGCTCAGCACAAGTGGTTTTCAAGGGATGCTCAATACCCTGGTTTTGATTGTGTTGGTTGTTATGAAGTAAGGAATGTTGATGCAAATGTTGAGGAAGTGCCATTAAGTGATCTTGTTGGCAAATTTTTCCCTTTTCATATGAACATTGACTTAAATTGTGATCCATTAACCAATGATATTAATCAGTTTTGGACCATCATTTGTCTGAAACATACTTGCCCCCCACAGACATTTTAATTATTCATGTAGTACATAATGAGGTAGTAAATACTCTTTGCTTTACACACTTACTTTGTTCATACACAATTGTTAATTATGCGGTGTTTCGTTAATAAATGTGATCCTAGAATTTAACACGTATGCTTAAAAATGTGCATATTCATGGATTTGGACTAGGAATACGGGGAGAGACTTTGAATTGAATGCAGTATACCAACTGTAGGAAGTATACAGAATTGTGTAAATCCATTTATATTCTTGTGAACGTTTCATTTTCAACATTCCAAAATGTATGTATGTGTACACATTGTGTTCAGGTTGATGCATACATGTATCTATGTTATACTCTGGCATGTACATTCATGGTAATAGTGTCACCCTCATGCACCAGCTATTAAATATTGTTTCTCCGTCTTCTGATTTCAGGGGATACTTCAACCTTGTGAACTTCCATTCCAAAGTTCCATTCAGAGTTAAAACGTGAAAAATGGAATCAATCAATATTAGCAATGATATCCCCCCTCGTGTTGACATTGTCCCAGATTTGCCAGCTCTGAAAGGGTGTTCAGTGTCATTAGAGAAAGATTTAATACTTTTGCGTGACACTAATACAGTGAGTACTAGTGCTAGTGCAAGTACTGGTAATGAGAAACCACAACACCCAATTGATGAACATGGAAGACTACAACCTTGGCTCATCACTCTTGACATAAATGACAAACGATGGTCTCAGGTGTGGAAGGTGTGGAATAAGATGCGGTGGAACAAGCGCAAAAATGAGGGCCTCATACAGGTTCTTCCAACAGACACATTTTCACACCTTCTTCCACCCCGTCACCATGAAGGAAATACAGTGGTGTATGACCTGATCCATGAAAGGGTTAGTTTACCATGTCCTTTTTAACATTTTCTACAATTACTATCTCTAATCGTATCTAGAAATAATATTATTTCTCTTCTCCAAATAATTTCTACAAGTACAATAGTATATGTATTGTGTGTCTGATTTATATTTTTAGAATTTGATACACACATGGTCTTGGAGCTGGGATCCCAAGAAGTCTAAGTACAGTGACATTGTTGCTTTTGATGTGGATGAGGATGGAAAAGTTACATACAACATCCGAGAACCTGCGTATGAAGAAGCTATGCCAATTTTCTTAGCAGTGACAATCCTTGATGGTGGTGAAGAACATAAAAAGTACCTTGAGAATGCCACCACTGAGGAACACTTGACAAAATTGTGGAATGATGCAGAGAGGAATAGAAATGCAGTATTTGGGACCCAATGTGAGTTCTAAAGGTTAAAAGCACCTAAAACGACACATTTCTAAATCATGGAATTTTTCTTCAACTTAATGTAGGCATTGTTCCAATCAATTGGGTTAGCAGTGACGGGAAGCGGGTCATGTTCCCCAAACCAAAAGAAAGTGATGGGGACAAGCCGCCCGCATCAAAAAATCGCCGAATTTTTGCAGAAAAATTCTATACACAGATTATCAAATTTTTGATCCTGAGGAAATGGAGGAATACCTCATAGGCAACATTTGGTGTGGAGGAAATCTTTGTGAGTGTGCTTGTACTTATGGTACTCATACAGTTAACAATATACAATTGAACACTTTCTCTTCATATGACAGCTTTTCACCCCGACCGTCTGGTTTCAAACATGAAACAACACATGAGGGATGGATACTACTCTGTGGGCATAGCAGACTGCAGTGAAAACAAACGGCCCAAAAAAAGGAATTACATGAAACCCAGGAAATTTGCCAGACAAGGAAGGAGTCCTTCACCAGCAATAAGGGATGATGATTCCTCAGCAGGAAGCAGCATCAAAAGATTGTGTGAAGCTGGACCATCTCACGTACATTTTCCTTCAATGGAAGGTAGTACTTTAAATTTCTTTTTCAATATTTGATTGAAGTGTATGACATGTATTAAGTTTCTATTTCATTATCTTGCAAGCAGCTGGTCCCTCTAATGTGTTCAAAACATCTACACCAAAAAGAAGCGAAGATGCAGTGGAAGTGCAGTCCTTGTATAACACCAATCCATGCTCCAGCTTTGTACAGGACCACAGCATTGTTGGGCAAAGTGACACTTTAGAAGCTACGGTCACACCAACAGCCTTGTCAAGGACATGTAAATATTAAAGTTTGTACTTTACGTTATTATGTATAAACTTGTGTTTCATCCGTTACAGTATCTAACACTAGCAATGTTACTTTCCCTGGAGTATGCAATTCATCAAATGATGAGGCATTTGAAGAAGTGGTGCTAAGAAGCTTCACAATTACGACAGATGACAGGAACAACTCAGATTTCCAAGATTCTGCAGCATCACAGGAATTACAAGGTATGCCATTTTCCATTCCTCTTTTGTTAATTACTTGTACATGCATCTGAAATTAATGAAAATTGTAATTTACTAATTACAGATGAAAGTAGTGAGGTTTTGTACATGGACTTGCTTGGACCTCCACCAGAGTTTGCAAATGAAGGTGCTGGACAACCAGGTACATCCAGTGAATGTGTGCCTGTTGATGCACACATTGCTAAGTACTATGGTGATTACATATGTTTCTAACTCTAATTAATAAGAATTATGTTTTACACTTAAGTTTACATTAATACCAGCTGAACCATCACTAAACCAAAATAGAAAATTGAACATACAATAATCCGTACAATTGTAACCTTTCACAGAAACTAATAATGACAAGGAAGGTGCACAAACCCGGATTCTGACAAAGATGGCACACAAATTGCAGGAAATGAAAAGCAAAGTGGAAAACATGGAAAGAACTCAGGCCACCTTTCAGGCTTCAATAGCAGCTACAGTAAGTAAAGCTCTTGAAGAAGCTGTCAAGAAGTTCCTAGTCAGAAATGTACAACTTGATGGAAAGAATCCTGCAATTAATCCAATTTCACTTGGAGGTATATACTTTCAAAATCTACTACATTTCTTATTTTCTCATTTTTACAATGTATACATTACTTTTTCAGTTATTCATCCTATGGAGCTGGGGATCAACCTACCCATACAAACAAGGAAAGAACTACTACAATTTGATACCATCTTGTTTGATTCCAGCATTAGACAAAAAGTTGTTAGTAAATTTAAAATATTTATTACATAATGCCATCTAAGCTTTTTTGGAAAATTCCTTCATGTTAACATTTTCTTTTCCTTAACAGTTGCATTACCTATTCCAAGTGAAAAGGGAACTTTTTCAAAGGGGATCGGGAATGCGAGTTGTACTCAAAACCCTGTTTTACCCAAGGATGAGTTTGCAAATTTACTGCTGCAATCGTCATACTCATCAAGGTTTGCACTTACTTCATTTTACTTGATAATTGATGATACTTACTTAATCATGTAAAACTTCAATGAATACTATGTTAAAACGCAATTTAATTTTACTTTGCAATTGGTTTCCTACAGGGAATGCAAGAAAAAATAGAGAACCAACCATCATCAGGACACTTGAAGAAAGAGATCAGCAGGTGTGGACACCAATACAAGATGATGCGAAAAGACAGGACTATGACTACAAACCCCTCAATCTGGAAAAGCGTCGAATCAATGAAAATCTCCGAATTGTATGTTAATTCATGCATCAATTATTTGATACATTTATATAAATGTTCAAAATAGGAAACTGTGCGCAACTAATTAATTTCCTCCTATTAATTCATCCCTGCTACATTATTCCCCTGCTACGTTATTCCCCCTGCTCCACTTTGCTAGGATTGCGCAATAGAAGATAAGAAGCATTCAATGCGCAGAGCTTTTTTATGATCTTTTAAATTCATTCATAATATTACTTGTTATCTACAATATGGTTAGCCCTTTTTGGAAGGTGTTGGATATTTTGAAATTTTCCTTATAAGTACTTTTTACCTTTTCATTTACAGCCACTCAACAAACTCGTGGGCTTCATGGCTCTCATAGAGGAAGTTTGGAATAAGTTCCCAGCTTGAAAGGAGAACAACCCTGATGGAAAAATGAAGGACATTGGGCTAAGGTAATTATTACTGTGGTTTTTAATCATAGTAGCAATTAATTTTAGTAATAATTTTAATAGCATTATTTGCAAATGAAATGAGTGTAATTGGATATTTTGATCTTTAATTACAGCAGAATAATCAGTAATATCATGTATAAATGTACTTTTTAAATGTGTTGCAGGGAAAAAATTAATCTTACCCTCCGCTCAATTCGATCCGTGGAGCGAATAAATTGGGACAATCCATGAAGGAAACTTGGGGAGATACCAGCAAATACCAAGGTGTCATACCCTTCTGTTACACCCAAGGCTGTTTACGTAGGAAACACCAAGAATGAAAGAGAGAGCATCTTGAGTGAGTGGTATGGTAGGCCAGACCATGTTGATTATGACCTTAAAGCCTTTAATGATTTTGATGAAGCTGATGATGAGTTGTGCTAGGCTTTAATGTGATATGGAATGTTAATTTGTTGTGCATTGATTTTTTTAATGCGTTTTGTCTGAAGTGCCTTTTTTTACTGTGTTTTTTTGTGATTTTTTATGAATGTTTTGTATGAATAAGAATAAGTTTCAAATTTAAATCTGGATTTTCAATTAACATATTCAACAACATACATACACTTACAAGCATACCGATTGCACCACACCAAATGTATTAACCGCTGTATTTGACCAATACGATACTTATTATGATCTTCACACTAATTTCTTTCACAAAGTTCAATGAAACGCCCTATGAACTTTAAAGCTGTTTGTAGCACGCCCCTTTTTTCTGCCCTACTTCCTGCATAGCCCACTATAGCGCGCAACATACAGCGCGCTATGCATTTTAAACGCGCTTTAAAATGCGTAGCCCACTCTATGTTGAAAATGAGGAAAAGGGGGGCGCTATTGTAAAATCAAAAGTGCACGCTATATGTTATAAACATTGTCATGACTGCGCTACAATAAGAGGCACGCGCACTGTATTTCAAAGATGATTGCCCTTTTCAGAAGCTATTCAGGGGGCTTCCTCCATATGGTGGCGCCTGTAAATGACTTTGTTCACAGTTGTCGCGCGTCCCCTTGTCTGCACCCCTCCCTGGAGGTTGTCCTCCATTTCAGTGGCTTCTTCCTACTTCATATATTCCAGTAGCATTCTATCCCTTCTGATCGCGTTTCTCACAAATGTAGTAACCAAAGTTGGGCCGCCTAACTTTTTACTCCCAAGTTCTGGAGAAATCAGTGCCCTACTTCCTGTTCCCTGGGTTCAACTTATGTTCATGCTTCGGTTTATTCTTTCACTGCCAAAGGTGGTTAGCTCAGTCAGTTAGGAGGTTGACTAGTGTTTCTGATCTCCTGGGTTTGAATCCCTTCCCATGTATTCTGGTTCATTTGGGGTTTCCCAACCCTGGTTGTACTGATGGCATCCATTGTCCACCATAAGACAACAAAATCATCCGCAGATTGATTCCTTATGGTAGGCAGTGGATGGCATCCAGTGTCAAACATGACGCAAGCATAAGTGGATGATGGTAGTACTGATGGCATCCATTGTCCACCATTAGGCATCGGTCTGCAGATGATATCGTTGTCTTATGGTGGACAACGGATGCCATCAGTACAACCAGGGCTGCAAAAACCCAAATGAACCACAATACATGGGAAGGGATTCAAACCCAGGAGATCAGAAACACTAGCCAACCTCCTAACCAACTGAACTCATCACCTTTTTGGGAAGTGACAATAAATGAAAAGCGCACGCTGCATTTTTGAAAAGTATGCGCAACTTTTCTGGACGCACACGCTGCTTTTTTTGCAGTGTGCCCTACATTTAAGGACGCGCGCACGCTGGTTTATTTTACAGCGTGCGCTACATTTCAGAATGCGCATGCTGGTTTATTTTACAATGTGCGCTCCATTTCACAATGCGCACGCTGCTTCATTTTGCAGTGTGCGCTCCATTTCACAATGCGCATGCTGCTTTATTTTGCAGCGTGCGCTACATTTCAGAATGCGCACGCTGCTTCATTTTGCAGTGTGCGCTCCATTTCACAATGCGCACGCTGCTTTATTTTGCAGCGTGCGCTACATTTGACAATGCGCATGCTGCTTTATTTTGCAACGTGCGCTACATTTCAGAATGCGCACGCTGCTTCATTTTGCAGTGTGCGCTCCATTTCACAATGCGCACGCTGCTTCATTTTGCAGTGTGCGCTCCATTTCAGAATGCGCATGCTGGTTCATTTTACAGTGTGCGCTACCTTTAGGTACGCGCACGCTGCTTGAATTTGCAGGGAGTGCTACTTCTTTTCAGGGCATGCCACGTAAAATGGGGAAGACGCACTGGTGAAAAAACGGGTGAAAATAAAAGGTGCACCAATGCTTTGTGCATCGGTGCACTCTTTATTTTTCACCCGTTTTTGGAAAAACGGGTGATTCACCTGTATATGACGGCTGAATCTCCCTTTGCGGTAACTAAGCAGCCGTTTGGAGAAAACGGGTGCTCAGCAGAACCACCCATATGCCGAAACGGGTGGTTCAGCGGGTGATCACCCGTTTTTTTTCAACCCAGTACCCGTTTCCCAAAACGGGTGGCCGCTACCCGCGTATGACGGGTCTTTGACAGGTGGAAATACGGGTAAATTATTTGCTGGGTTGAGCTTTACAATGATTCAAACGTGATGAGATTAGAGAGAGGTATTCAACCAGTTCAATCAATTAATTATTAACCTTCCACTTCAGTCCTCTGAGCAAGACAGAAGCACTCCGCACATCTTCCTTACTCTCTTGCAAAACATGCTTCGCAATTTGACGATCTTTGCCGAACGTCCAGCCATTGGCTACCTGTGGGAGATTCCGGAGATGGGGATCCCCAGATTGGATCCTCCTCTCTATTATGAAAATATGAATTAAGAAATGAGACATTAAATTAGGAAAAAGTCCTTTTTTTTGTGTTCTGGCGTAAAAGGAAGAAGTAAGTCCTGTGCTATTTATTAGTGCAGCCCCTGCTCTAACCTGTTCTGGAGTGGTTGTCCAATAGGTCAGACTCCTCTGAAAAGAGGCTTACATTTTCAAAAGTGTAAGGTAGAGTGCTCTGAATGGAAGGGACTCAGCAATCATTGCTAGAGGCAACCCCAGAACAATAAACACTAAGAATTACCATTGAAACTTGTACCTAGTTAATGTACAATTTAAACATGTTTCAAATATGAAAGAAATGCCATTGGCGATGTATAATGCCATTGGCAATGTATGCAAATCCATTGGCGATGTATCAGTAAAATTTGGTTTATTCCATGGTTTATGCTGAAAAGAATCTTTTAAAAGGGGTTCTGTATGTATTTATGAGAAGGGAAGATGCTGTTTTATGTTGGATTTTATTTGTATAAACAGCAGAGAAATATTGAAAGAATTGAAAGTTTTGTACATCAGTTATTTGTCGTATTTACAAAGGTCAGTCGCGGATACTAACTTCTTCATTTTGCAATTTATTTGATGCGCAAATTTTGTATTGAATGATCATGATTTGTATGTCAATTTGGATTGTTCAGAGAGTGTATAGACATGTGTTGGCGCACGCCTCGCGGAAATTTGTGCAGCGCGGAAATTCGTCAATATTTATGTTTTCCTGGAAGAGTGTGCATAATTTGTTGTGGTTGATTCGTCTCGCTTTTTCTGTTGCGTTTCCTTTGGAAAGATGTATCCTTGCTTTAGGCCACCTGGGAAAGCTGCGCAAACCATCCTTGCAGGAGGATTTAGATTGGAATGCAGGAATAGGCCACCCAAGGTTGGTGCGCTAATCTCTTAGCAGACAGCGTCCTGCTCATTTCTGTTTGAATGCTTGAAGTGTGAGCATCAGATGCTTGCTTGTACTATAGTCAGAAAGAGGGTCAAATTAATAGTAAAATGAATAAGACCCACGCCAGAAGGATTTGACAAAGTGTTTTGAATTTGAACTGTATTGATTTGAAATTTGGTTGTTCTTCTGTGTGATGTGTATTATGATTTTTTATTGATGAAAGATGTGATTTCTCATTTCTAGACAGAGACGAGTACTTGTTGTGGAGTATTGCTACTTTGTGAAGTTGATCAGAATTTTAAATAAACTGTTTATAAGTCTTAAAAGGCTTTCAGTTATTTGTAAAAGTTCCTAACTCAAATAAGCAAGTAGCACTCTTAGTGACCGTCCGTTTTCGAAGAATAAGGCTTAACCAGCGGATTTACACCCGCGTATGGTTCTCAGCGTTAGAAGCACTTGGGGTAAAAATAAAATCAGTGAATTGAAACACCCAAGAATTAAATAGTCTGTGGATCCTTTGATTCCGGGCTTTCCTGTTGACAACTTCCCGGGCCCGACCAGGCGCCCAGTTTCAAGTGCTCAAGATTTCACACCTGGGTTTTCCGGGTTTAATTCTTAGTGTTTGGGGGACGGCTTTCTTGAACCAGGGTGGGGGATAAAATATGCCCAATATAAATCTACTGTTTTAGGTGATTTTAGTTTCCTGGGGGTTATTTTTGTATAGGTTAAGTGTTCAGTTTTCGTTGGGTTAGGTTAGGTTATTTTAGTTCAATCATGTTAGGTTTTCTTTGAATGAAGAGGAGGAATAAATATAATGAACTTCATATAAGGGTACATCAGGCATACCCAAGAGAGAAAATTTCATGTCCCACCCAACTTTCAAATGAAATCCAGGGATGGGGAGAGGTGCTGGAAATCGATTTATGGGCGCAATTAGGGGAGTGTAAATGATTCCCCAGATGGTTTCTATCACTGATTGAATCAGGGTCCACCCTGAATTCAGCAAACAATTTGGTGGGTGCCAGTGCTGGTATTGTTCATCTAGAAGCCAGCTTATATGCAATGATCTTGCTTAAACTTTCAGCTTTTGTACAAATTTGTTGTTGGGGACAAGAGTCTCCACAACATAGAGATGTATTACAGTATTTGGCTGTTGGTCAGAAGGAAATTGAAAAAAAGGAAAAACAGAGTCAGCCTGGGACTTGAAATTCTCAGTAGAATTCCTGAATTAACTTCAAACTGTATTTCACATGATTATTCAAACAAAGGCAAAGATTTGAACAAGTCAAAATATATAATAATGAACAGAAAAAACCTCTCAGCAAGCTCGCTTTACAACGGACTCTTCACTGCACAAAAGCTATAGGCTCACACTGATGATGAATTGGGTGGGACAGGTTTAAAAAAAATTATTTATTAGTTAGTGTGTCTGGCCTTGATCCAGCACTCTGCTTTGGATGAGGCAATTTTTAGAGGCCTGTGATTTGCTGGAAAACTGAAGACCAAGACACCCTTCCTGCAGAAAGCCTTGAAGGAAAGTTCTGGATTTCTCCCTGTTTCTCTAGCTGGTCCAATCATTCTTATGGCTGGGCAGTTTATACACCCCATCAACTCTTGCCTCCATTAATGAGGCGCTCATCACACTGGCAGTGGCGGGTTCACAACAGTCATCTCAGAATAATTTCGATGAACAGAAGTTATTTTCCACAGTATTGAGTGCGTAACCTTTTGATACAATTACTTTTTTTTAAATCCTAATACTGTACTTGAACGTGTAGCCAGATTTTTGCAATGGTGTACTAGGATTCCTTACATCCCAGTTATAATAAGGAGTATATTCAATTACTGTATATATTAGAGCAGTTAATACCAGGAAGAAGGGTCTTCAAAAAATTGGAGAAAACCCCGGATATGCAGACACCCCAGCATACAGGCAATTGGACTTTGGCACTATTGAAAACAAAACAAAAAACCAGGCCCAACATCTGGACATTACCCTGACTTGAGGAATTTTTCCTGAAATTTCTCCAAAAAATCAAAATATTCTGTTGTTTAATCTTGATATCTTTTGAAGAAATAAAGCTACAGTATTTACCTTATAATCACAAAATTTGAAAATATATTTCATGACAAATTCACTTCAATTAACATTCAAGAGTAAGCTGAATTTTTTCCTCTAATGCGCCTGTTTTAGTAATAATTTTTCTTTGGTGGTTTCTTTGGTACGGATTAAAAACAACAGTGGTATTGTTCGGTACTGTTGTTTTTTGCAACTTGAAGTTGAGGGAAACAATTTTTTGAGGACTAATTTTCTATTTTTTTAAAAAAGAAAATGAGAACCAATTATTCACAGTAGCATTGAAGTACAAGAGAAACTGAGACTCAACTTATGGGCATTCAAACATTAGGACACTCTTGATGAACCAATTATGTCTGCATTCCAGGGTATCTATGTATTTTTAGTGTACCATGTGATGTCTGTGTTTGTTTATTGTTATTGTGCCTGAAAAGTTTTTGAGTTGTTATATGGTGTGACACTTTTTAAGGTCTGACAATGGGAAATCCAGTCATGGTTGAGTTTATGCAACAGTTCGTACCAATGATGCAACAGCAGCCTGTTATTGCAGGAATGAAACAATATCCACCTGTGTTTCCTCAGAAAAAAAGGGACCATGGGCCAAGTTAGTTGGCTGTAGACCTTTGATAAGGGTGTCTTTGATTTAAAAAAAGATTGGCCTTTGCAAGAGAATAATTTTGTTGATGATCATGTCGCATTTGAAATAAGCTGTTCTGTTTCAGGGATTCTTGGCGCTCAGGAGCTTATACAGTTTCTGAAGTCTCCTGTATCTAATTCTGCCCCAACTGAATTCAATTGGCAAAGAAGTAGGTGACACACCAGCAACTGGCCTTCCTGATTTCGAAACTGCCCACCTTTCATCTTCTAGCAAAATGAAGCATCCGCGATTTTTGCTTCCATAGCCTGGTTCATGGAAAGCGCCTGAAACAAACAGTCATAATTTTGAAGGCTTTAAGAAGTGGTGGAATGGGACTCAGGGATGGATGGGCTTGTTGTCCTGGCGTAAGCAGCGGCATTCTTCCAAAGCAGGCACTAAACCTGGAACACAAGAAGTTGAATCCACAAAATACTGTATGATTGGCCCTTCACCAAAAAATAGAAGAAAATAACCAAATCAGCAGCCCACAGCACTATTGCAGTTCTTCTCCTTGCTTTTATTGCATTCTCTTGGAAGTTCCTCACAGCCTTTCAACAAGACTGTGCAAGAAAAAAAAATTGGCACAAAAATGGCAAGTAAGAAACTAATCCCACAAATTCTTTAAAAGCTTTTGCAAAATAAACAGGCAAAAACATAAGGACACACTATAAAAATAAACTGTACACAATGAACTGTTGAATCACAATATCTCTTCCCCCATACTTTCTTCCTATTCTGGTTACAAATTTTCTTCTTTTCCAAAATAACAAAAGGCAGGATCAGTATGGTGCAGCTTCTTTCCTTCCCTCACTTGATATAAAGCAAACATTTTTTCTCCTCTTCTCAAGCCTCCTGGCTCAGCTAAATTTCATCCCTTCAGATAAAATCATAAGGCACTCTTCAAACTATATGGAGGAAAACAGCCAAGCGAACACCAATGACCAACATAACTCTTTCCCCATAGGGCAAAAACAAAATACTAATTTGATTAAATATTGTTTCAAGAAGGAGGAGCTAAAAGGTTAACAGATTCTATGGCAAATGACTGTGGATAAAATTCTCCTCTGAAGAAACACACCATTGGAAGTTGACAACCTTGAGACTTGGATTACTCAGGATCATTATCCACTCATTAGCATCTCTCTGTCCTGAAAGTCTTGGGCAGGTAGATGCCTTTCAATCCTTCTTGAAGTGACTATTGTGCAGTAAACAACACTACACTGAACATATTTAGTCCAATAATGAGGATAAAAATGTCATCCTAATGCCTGAATTGATTCATTTATTTTGAATAGTAATGAATTTAACAATTTTTGACATCACAAGTCAATCTTTACAGCCATTTATGCATTTGTCTCCAGCATATTTTATTGAAAATATCAATTTTGAAGAATGATGTA